TTAACGCTTCTCATAGCTATGTGAAAATAAGTGTATAAATGGAACAGTTCATTGTTTAAGCTGAGCTGGTGATCTGAATGAGAGAGAGATGCAGCAGAGCAGGGGGACGCGAGGAACAGGATTAGAACCGCTGCTTTAGAACATTGATTTTGAAACTTGTGAATCCATTAGAATCGTTAGAAAACAGAATCGCGATTCATATATAAATAAATGTTTTTGTGCACCCCTAGTTTTAACGGCAATGCAACAACTCTCCCTCTTCTCAGAATTTTAAAAGACGATATCTTCGTTTGCATTGAACTTTCAGCGCTGCAACTTTGCAGATATTGTTTATGCTCAAACAGCAACATTACACACTAACATTAAAAAGTGAAATCGCGATCAACCACCCCTTTAAAATGTAATTTATTCCTGTGATGGCAAGGCTGAATTTTCATTTGCCATTACTCTGGTCTGCAGTGTCACATGATGCTTTTGAAATCATTCTAATATAAAATTTTTCATAATTATTTGGCGAGTAGAAAGTTTTTAAAAGAACGGCATCTATTTGAAATACAAATGTTGTAACATTTTAAATGTCTTTACTATAATAATTGATCAGTTTATTGCATTCTTGCTACAGTAAATAAAAGTATTAAAAAACGTACCGACGTCAAACTTTTGAACAGTAGTTTAATAGGGAAGCAGCAACTACACAACACTGAAACTGACAAAAAAATTGTTTATTGAATTTGAATGTTTTGATTGTTTTCTTAATCTGAGTGTAGTTTAGCCAAAAATGTGTAGTTGCTTTTTTTTTTTTTTTGCAGTGGAATATATTAATATATATTTTCATGAAACAGTGAGTTAAAGCAGATGACTAGTGATATTGCTTTTTCCCCTTTTAGATTAATTAATTTACTTTGTAATTTTTCCATACTGTCTTTTAGTTCTGTGGTGAAGCTTTCTTACGGTTGTGAGGTGATGTTTATGAAGGTTTGTGCTGAAAGTAGAGACTACTAGTGCACACCCGATGTTCTGCGTTCTCCTCACTGTGCCCCTCGGAGATGCATCACCTACAGACGCTGGTGTGGGATCTACGGCAACAACAGTGGCCATATAAATATGATTGCAGCCCATCTCTTGTGCAATAACAATTTGGTTAAGGTCAGGAAAAATGTTCACAAAGACTGTAGTTTCCATTTTAGTTCAGTTAGCTCAGTCAACAGAATTTATGATGGCATATTTTTCTTTCACATGCTACTGTATGGCTAAAACCTGGTCTTTATGTTCTATTTAATAAGTAGATATGAGATGCTCCTAACTTATACACCCAACCCCCATCATGATAATTTTACATCTAAGTAACGTTGATTATATTTCTGAGCCCTGGTTTTTATATCGCTTTGTATAGCGTAAAATGTTTACTAAAAGGAAAATAAAATGAAATCAAACAAAATATTGTTGTTCTTTTTTTAGGAGAACAGACTTGCAAATGCTTTTTACAGTCCTAAAACATTTTTTAAAAATTGAGAAAATTACCAGAGAGTTACATTTTACATTAAGGTGTGAAATAATACTTAACCATTAGAAAACGACTCACTTCTTTTTATTAAACATGCTGTTAAATATCATTGTTCACTCATTTGTCCTGTAATGTCATTAACCTAGTCCAGAATTGGGTTTAGTCTGGTCTTACCCAGATCACTTCAGGTGAAGAGTCTTATGTGCTTATCATCATCTAAGAATCCTGTTGTGAACTGAGATTTTCAGTTAATGAATTTGTCTAATGAAGGTTTCATCTTATTTTGGTAATTGAAATGTACGATTTTCACTGTACAAAAACATTCAGCTTAATAGCTTTTCAACATGGTTTTATATTGCTATAATTGGAATAAAAAGATTTTGATTATATTGCAATACCTGGAATTTGATAATGTCACTTGTAAAATTACACACAAAATGTTGGATTACTAGTAAAAGATTTAGGTCCGTTCATTTAGCATTGATTAATATAGGTTCAGATAACCTTGTAAATTCTCTCTTAAAAGGACTAGTCTAGCTAGACTTTAGGCTTAAGGTGTGTTCACACCAAGGTTTTAATAATCTTTTTTTTAATAATTCTATGAGAATAGCAAAATCCACACCACAGCTATAATGATAATGCCACAGTTTACCAATACAGTTGAATACATTTTTGGAACAAAGAGTCAAATCACTAAACTTTAAAAAGCACAACTATTTAAACTGGCAGGCGACAAAACCACAGCGTGTGCTTATAATGAAGAGAGCGTTATTGTTCCTTGGCCAGTATAGTTATCGTTACAGGTGCACTCTAAAAAATGCTGGGTTAAATACAACCCAGTGCTGG